AAAGCATCATCAGGAAGTCTACTAAAATATATGTTGAGAATATTATTGCCTTAATGGCGATAATAAAGAAGATGTTCTATGGAAAGTTCGTTGCTGAACGTTAATGATTGTAGGCTGTCAAGTTGAAGGTTTCAATCATGAAAATGAGTGGGAGCCATCACTTGGACAATAAATCCTAAATCACATATAATCCATGACACTCTCAAATTTTATCATCTTATTATGAAAGTGATCAGTAATGAAGATGCTAAGATTATCAAAGTAATTATAACTAAACCTATGCAATAAGTGAACGACAACATTCACAATTGCATGAAAGAAATCAAGCATATTAGATATGGGTGTGATTTCTTAGATGTTTTATAAAGAGTGATACTCTTAAAACATTCGGAAAAACCATTTATAAGATGAACCATTTAAGTTTTGAAGTAATTTAAAATTTCATGCAATTTTTATCACTCCGTTTTCTATTTAATTGTGGTTTAGAATTAAATAATGAGTCCATTCGATTCTTGGAATATTCAGAATAGGGTATCAAGACCAGTCTTGATAAGGAAACACCTATTAAGTGAACATTGAATATTATAATCGAAAATTGTCCCTAATCGAGGTCATTTAAACGATGGACGATTAATGACCAATTGAGATTAGTGTGTAGTCTGATTTATAGCACTGTTTCTTGTCCTACGAGGACATGATTGTCATAAATCATTTGCACAGGTATTGATTTAGAACCATACTGGATCGACCTATGAGAATACTTTAAGAGATTAAAAATCGTCATAAGTATACATCTCATTATGGCTATCGGAACCTATTTCCTTGACCATGAGTATTGTGAGTTCTCTTGTTTGAGTACTAGTCCGCTTTGATGTTGTCACACGTCTGCCGTAATAGGGGATTATAACGGCAACACTCGGGTGGCTAGGTCCTCTTAGTAAGAGGAGCTACATTAAAAAACTAGGAATGTCCCCCTACTAAAATAGGGAAGATGCCTTTATTGTATACTAAAATAGGGAACAACTATACTATTCCATTAGCGGGTTCAGAATTATTAGAAAGCTAATATATTCAATAAGGTCAAGTGATCGGAATGCCTGGGTGGAGGCTGCTTCCGATCAGTAATTAATGTATAACTAATATTACATCTTAATCTTGACTGAACCCTTCGGGTCACACCCTAGCAAATATACGAACCGACTCGACGAATTAATTCGGAAGAAATTAATTCGTCGCCCGAGTGTTAAATATTTAGACGTCGGAAATTCGATCTTGGAGCGTCGAAACCGAGCGTTAGAGAATCTCAAATGTCGAGCCAAAATTTAGGATTTGGCAAGACGGGAAAATGCTTCAAGTAAGAAGTAAAATCCTAGCCACGTGAAAGGCTAGGAAAGCGCATCAAATAGGTGTGTGCCACGTGGTAACACACGTGGCAGCCACCCAGTGGAAGCCGCCATGTGGCAGCACACGTGGCAGCCACCTAGTGGCAGCCGCCAAGTGGAAGTATGCCACGTAGGCAGTGTGCCACGTGGCAACGTGCCATGGTGGCGGCACGTGTGGCAAGAGGTCATGGACCCGGGTGACGGGTCATGGACACGGGCCAAAATAAAATGGCCCAACCGAACCCAACTTGGGGCTCAAGGTTGGGTGACACATGGTTAGTTCACATTGCATGTGAATTGCCTTGGGGACCAAGTAGGAAAGTGATCCTCACCTAACCATGTGACACTTGTTACTTATTCCTTGGTTTATTTAACTAAGGATTGAATTCATCAATCTTTCCATGTGGGATCTTTTTGTGAAAAGTCTCACATTGAAAGATGAGTGGAATTCACAAGCTATCCTTCCTTATAAATAACCAAAGCATGGCTTGAGAATTCTTTGCTTGAATGAGAGTTGAAAAAGGCATTACCATTGTGAAAACCTTTGAACTCATTTAATCACTCGGGTTTTGGTCAGACCTTGCTAACTCCAAGGTAGCGGACCTAAAATGTCGGTGTTCGTCCTTTGTGGGTGGATATCGTTGGAGGCTCTCGTGTGAGCGGAGCTAAAGCTTTCAAGTAAGAGCCCATTAGGTCGGGCGAAGCTCGCGTCAAAGGTAAATTACGATTCTATCCTTTTATGTTTATTCGTTATGCTTTGTGGTTTTATTAATTGCGAGTGGTTCTTTGGGTCGGGGTCGTTTCCGCGGTAAGTTGGACTTACCAAACCCCAACAGGGGTCCATGCCAATTTGGGTAAGTAGGTACCCCATCACCCCCAAAAGATGGTATAGGACCATATTGGGGTGGAAAGTAAGGGTAGTTAACCGGGGGAGTGATGTCTCCCCGGTTAACACCGGCATCATACAAATGTTGTTGTTGGAGAAACATACCATGTTGCATCTCCAAAATACCTCTCATATAAGAATAGAGGGACTCAAATTCTTAAACATACATGCCCTCCAACTGGATTTTCATTCCCTTCATTTGAGCACTAAGGGCATCCAAGTCGGAGTTAGCAAATTGGTGATGTTGCTCTTGATGTTGTTGTTGTTGTTGTTGTTGTTGTTGTTGTTGTTGTTGATGTTGTTGTTGATGTTGTTGTTGCGACTCTTCTTCCTTTACTTCACCCATCTCCTCATCATCATCATAGTAGGGAGGGCGGTGACTTTTGGAGACATGCCAAATATTTGCCACATTCTCGCGATGGAGAGAAGTCAAGGAGGGGTTAGCACCAATGTGCGTTATCCCTTAGCCAATCAAACACCTTGTCGTCATCATTCTTTTCTAAGAACTGGATTTGCTTCAATTGCCGGACGTCGAGGAAGAGAGAATCAACATCCCCCACCGGAGTGTAAGACGACAAATAGTGCCCGAGCTCAAGGTTAGTCACTAGCCTTGTGACCATGCTCCCACAAGGGATCTCGCCGGAATCCCTATCTTGCAATCCTTGGCAATAGTTGACAAAAGTGTACCCCAAATTTAGGCGACCTCGGTACTCCGCACGAGTAGCCACCCAAAGAATCCAAAGCTGCAACTGACTCATCTTTCCCAATTCTTGCTTTTGAATGGGGTCGGCAATCCTTGGCAATAGTTGACAAAAGTGTACCCCAAATTTAGGCGACCTCGGTACTCCGCACGAGTAGCCACCCAAAGAATCCAAAGCTGCAACTGACTCATCTTTCCCAATTCTTGCTTTTGAATGGGGTCGGTAATTCGTAGTTTGGGGATAGGGGTAGGTTGACGAGGTTGTGAGGTAGAGGGGGAAGGAGCGGGTTCTTCAATAATAATAATAATAATAATAATAACAATAATAATAATAACAACAACAACAGCAACAGCAACAGCAACAACAACAACAACAAAGACAACAACAACAACAACAACAACAACAACAACAACAACAACAACAACAACAATAATTGTGTAAAATAAATATTAATTAATTAACTAATTAACTAACAAGGTGTTACATTAGCTTGTTAAAAGTGGTACATAATGTCAAATATAGTGATACTATATGTCAAAAGATGATTGAAAAATGTTCGTATATTTTGTAAAAGTGATACACAATGTTAGATAAAGTGTTACTATATGATTGAAAAGTGTTATTAAAAATAAGTAAGTGTTACCAAATAAATAAAAATTAACACTTTAAAAATGATACGTATAATATAAAATTGTGTTACATAAGAGTGTTTATAGTAACACTTTCAAAAGTGTTACCATACATTACCCAAAGTGTTACATAAAACCTTAGGTAACATGGGCGGATGTATCACCCACTAAAGTATTACTTATTGACTATGATAACACTTTTACCATATTATGTAACACTTTTTGGATGTTACTTAAGGTTAATTATGTACTAGTGTAACCTGAATAATAGTTACATAGATAATGATAGTAGTGATAAAGCCAGTAAAAGTTTCTGAAATTAGAAAAAATGATCTTGCTTGGCACATTACAGCACATAGTAATCATCAGGACACAATAGCAGCAAGAAGAAACTAAGCTTGTGGATGGTAATCTGGGATTTCAGAGGCATATTACTCGAAGATATCTGCAAGGGGTAGAAATAGGTCTCTTTCTCCCCCTTCTTGACCCTTTGTTCTGCCAATGTGAGCCAAAGAATCTGCAATTTTGTTGACAGATCTCTTAGCATGAAAAATAGCAACATCCCAGTCACGAGCAAGAAGGGAAGCAACATCCCTGATCATGTTGCCCAGGTCAAGATCTTTGAAAGCTTCTGGGTTTTTCAGCATCTTAGAAAGGGTATCAGCATCTGTCTCAAGATCAAGTTGCTGAATCTTTCTCTTCTAAGCCATAAGAAGACCTTCTGTGTTTGCAAGGAGCTCTGAGGCAGCAGCAGACATGGCATTGAAATTGATCGAGAAGCCTTCCTGCCAAATACACTTAGCACACCTAATGACACCACCCCCTCCAGCATTCTCCAATCCAATCCAGTAGGGGTGTTCAAATCCGGGTACCCGAAAATACGGGTACCCGGATCTTCGGGTAGTTCAAAACTCGACCCATGTCCTGATCCGAGAAACCCGGGTACTCGATTTTCTCGGGTCGGGTCAAGGGTACCCGAAAAAATTCACTCAACATTTTTGTCAAAAAAAATAAAATTGATCAATCAAAACAAAATAATTTACAACAGAACAACACGATTAATTAACAATTTGCATTCTTCTACTTTTAAGTTTTATCCCACAATTATCAAGTACAAAACTATGCTAATCCAAAATTTACAATCAAGTACCCCCAATTATCACGAGATAGATCTATGAGCAAAGTTCTTTCTGGTTGCTTAACCATCTATCATATCCTCACATACAATGCATAAATTTCCATATCTTAATTCTAAATTTTGTGTATTCAAGTTCTAAACTTTATTGGCCAAAATCAAGAATTATAATTCCAAATTATGGGTAAATTATATGAAAGCTCTCAGACCCATCTTCAAGAACCTGAATTGTCAGCCACCCTCAAGCTTCTTCTCCATCGTAGCACCACAATCGCTTGCCACCATCTTCCATTCTGTCGTAGGGTATATAAATTTTGATTTAATTTTGTTGTTGATTAAGGATTTTTTTGATAGATTATGAGAGGAAAAGAAGTATGCTCATATGGAGATTAGAAATTAGATATTAAGAGGATGAAAGAAGGCAGATCTGTGAACTCGTGAAGGAAGAAAAAGGCAGGAGGAGAGAGAGGGAGAGAAAGAGAAAGAGAGGAAGAGCGAATTTTGGAGAATCCTAATCTCCAAACTGGTATAGTGGTATGGGCTTGCCCTTTGAGGAGTTTGAGGGTTTTTTTTAAAAAAAAATAATAATTTATTTTTGGGAAATCGGGTACCCGGGTATTAAAAAATGCGTCCCATTTCTCGACTCAGATAACATGCAATTTTTCCGAGTCAGGTACTCGTCCCCAAAAAATAGCTTTTTTCCCCAAATTTTCCATCGGGCATTTACCGGGTATCGGAAAACCTGGTCGGTTCAAGTTTATTTGAACGCCCTACCAAGAACCATCTGTATTGAGTATGAAATGGCCAGCTTGAGGAGGAGCCCAGATTCTGCTAGCTGTGTTGGAAGAGAAGCTTGGAGTATCCACTTGGCCCTGCTTAAGTTTGAGAGTAAACAAATAATCCACTAGGAAGCTGTTAAAAGTCGATTGGATAAACAACATTTTTTTCTCAAAAATGGCAATATTTCTAGTTTTCCAAAGGTCCCAAATAGCCACTAGAAAAATAGTTTTCCACTTGGAGTCATTTGAAAGATTAAAAACAAGCCAGTCAGTAAGAGAAGTATTATAAAACATGTTTAAATCAAAAGAAGAAGAGGGAAATTTGTTAAAAATTAGAGACCAAAAAGCTGAAGAGTTAGGACAATCCCTAAAAATATGAATGGAGTCCTCTAAGGATGCCTCACATGGAATACAATTATATTGCAAGCAAAAAAAACCCAAAGCATTCGAGCAGAAATACACAGAGAAAATCGTCAGAACATTGAACAAATTATAGCTACAAATGATGGCGAATGATTGTTTAACTACTATGTGATTGTCGAACAATCTATGGACCGGATCGTGATAGTCAAACAATATATGGCTTACACGCGGTAAACGTGTCAAAAAGGTCTATCAATCCAATTTTCTCATAGCTGTAGCTTAATATGATAGGAAGCATTAATCTGTAAACCTTATAAAAGTAGGAAGTTGGGAGCACTGTAGCTTAACAACAGTGCCCCTTAGGAACAATAATTTCTGGCGTTTTTACACTCCCACCCTCGACATTAATGTATTGCCAAATCTTCCCTCTTTGCATTGACTGAGCTTACTTGCAGGAGTAGTTTTCCTTCAATATTATATTGCTTCCTTAAGCTGGTTGCTTTCTATTTGCATGTGGGGGCCACTAAGTTGACCAAGGGTCCAGCTATATGAATTTGTACTTCATGTTATGATAATTAAAAGAAGAGAGAAGAAGAGAGTGTGATTTGCCAGAATTATGGTGTCTAATTGCGTGATTATGTGAGTGTTGTTGCTTCTAATTGTTTTGTTTTGGGTTTAGCTTCTTAATTGAAGTATAGTAATTTGGTCTCAGTGATTCGGTTAGTCTTTGTGTGTTGTTAATCTGATTATGCTAATTTGAGTGCGGATGTACCTTCTGGTACTGTTCAACTGTTTACAGTTGTTAGGTCGGTGCTCTCTTTGCTTGCATTATATATATATATACACACACATACCCATCCATTGCGGTGTTTAGGGATCTTTCCTGTGTTACTGTGTGGCGTAATTGTCTCTTTGTAAGTGTAGTTAAATTTTTTTTAGTTTAAAATTTTATTTTTTGTTTAATTTTTTTTTAAAGTATATATAAATATAATAATTATTGTTTCTTTGTAAGTGCAGCTAATTTTTTGTTAGTATACGATTTTTTTTCCAGTATATATAAATATACAATTACTGTTGCTGCTTAGAATTAATTTATGGTATTTGTGTTGGTTATGCTTGAAATTGATCTTGTAGTTGCTTATTTTGTTCTTGGTTGCTTATTTAGAAGCATTAGCATCATAGCATTATTATTGTGTTCTTTTTTGGTTGCATGTCTGTTATCTTTCTGGTTTCAAGGCTTTGGAATGATACCAATGATCATTGTGAATGAAATTGATCCTCTAATTGGTTTGTTGTATAGTTTTTTGTGACATTGTTTCATTTTATTGTCAGTTCATTAGCACAATGCTTATATTATTTGTTTTTTTTTTGGGTTTTTTCCCTCTTTTTTTTTCTCTATGGATAAATACAGGTATGGTAGAAGACTTGAGGGTGTTTTTGGTATCGCTGGTGGGAGGTTACTATCGAAGTGTCCTCATCTTATATGGTAATGGTGTTAGAATTCTGTATTAAATATGGTTTATAAATTGCAGTTGTTTGTTTCAGTTGTTCTCTTTCTGCTTCTTTATGCTTTTGGTTGTTGCTTGTTGCATGGAGAGTATTATGACTTCCTTAACTGTTATAATTAGGTTATATACTTATTTATTTGAGGTGATGGGTGATTATTTGTGTCTGTGGGTGGAAGGAGAGGGGTAGTATTTGTATAGAAAAGGAAGGAATACTAACATTTCTTGATTCTGTCACATTAGTTGGTTAATGTGGTGTTCTTTGCATGGTATTTCATTCTTTGAGTTATTTGTTGTTTCTATGGGTTTTGGTAGCTATTAATAGTTATTTTTTTGTATTTTACGCTATCTATTATAGCCCTTTGGGTATGATGTGGAGTTGTTTGAGATAATGGCAAGTGTTCTGATTTTGTCAGAAATTAAATTCTGAGGAAAGTATTAATTTGTGTGGGGGAATGTTTAGAAATTTAAGTGTTGATATGGTTGTTACCATTACAGGTTATGGCTGCAAGATCTAACAAAGTATTCATTCCTTTTGAGCCCCTTTTGCACAAGATCACAGATTGCTTGCAATTCCCACCACCAGTTTATGGGTTCATGGACAGCACTCGTAATAATGTCTGGGTGCAAGTTGTTCGACCAAACACTCGAGCACGCTTGTTGTTTTTCGGTGGTGATGCAAGCACGGTCCAGGAATCTCGTGAGAGGGCAGCTCATAAAGCTGTAAAAAAAACTAATACTCTTGTACAGTGTTAAGGTGGATGATTTTACGTATGATCAGGTTAGGCTGCATGAACTGTGCATGAAGCTATTTAGGAACAAATGTGCTGAGCTTCTGCAAGAGAATAACAGAAACTATAAGCCACCTACAGGGAATAGTTCTGTGAGTAGCTTAACTGCTGAAGGTGCTCATGTGTCTATTGACTATGCACAGGTATTAGTCATTGTTGTGCGGAAAACTGGTGCATCTGTGACAGTTATTGAAACTACTTGGGTTGAAGGTCATGGCTTTATCTCTTGGGTTATGATTACTTGCCCACATAGTGGTAATGGGATGGAATGCATTTTCAGTGATCCTTGTAACACAGCAAGTGTTGCTGAACAGAGGGTTGTAAAGACGGTTGTCTTTTATTTGGCTTGTAAGTACAATCTGGAAATTGTTGATGCTAACTATGGGGCTGCAACAAAGATGAGTAGGGATTGTTTCCTGTTAAGGGAAAAGTATTTACTTCTAAAGGGGCATCTAGAGCACTTAGCCAAGACTTCTCAAGAACCTGTTGCCATGAACCCTGAAGTTTGTGAGGAAAATGTGGTTGCAACTTGTGATGGCTCACAAATTCTTGACAGCTGCAGCTTGCCTGCTGTTCCGGCAAAGCGCAAAAAGCTCTTGCAGTTAGCCTACGAGAAGGATTTAGATGTAGGAAGCTCAGACCAAGTTGCATCTGGGTTGCTGGAACTGGGGCGCATGTTTGATAGTTCTGATCCTAAGTAGTTATTGTATGCCACCTTTAGCAAGTGTATGGGGTTCTTTTGGGTTGTATTATGTAGGACTACAAGCAGTTGACGGTTACTTTTGCATTGTATGATACTATATGCAGAAAGTTTTGTTCTGCTGTTGGGTTTGACTGCTTTTAAACCTGTTGTACTTTTGTTAGACATGTAAGAAAGTAGTGCTTAGTTTAAATGCATGTCCTGATCTGTTGGTAGGGTAGAAAAGAAATAGAATATGTACTTAGTTTTTTATTTTCCGATAATGTAAGTGGCATGTGTAATATTGCTGCTTCTTTTGGTGTAAAGAGACTTTTGTTATCAATATCTATGAAAAATCTAATCTTCTTGTGGTAAATTATTGAAACTTTATTTACTCTGCTATTCATTTGGATTATGTCTTTTGTTTGTAAAGGCCTATTATTGGTTGGGTTTAATTAGCATTGTTATGTATCTATAAAGTTAATCACTTTGGGATTGCTAGGCCTTTGTATGTATTGCATATTTTTTGATCTATAATGCTTAGTGTTTTGCGTTTGCTTTAGAGTGCAGACTCGTAGTATAATTACTACAACACAAACTACAAGTGTTCTGTTGTTATATACGACATTTATCAACGACTGCCGGTAGCTACATTTATGGGTACTCTTGCTCTTGAAATCATTCGTTTGTTTTGTATGCGCTTTGTAATATGGTTAGGCTTTGTTCATTTGACGATTAATAGATATATGTCTCTGAAAATTGCTACTTTACAATCTGTAAGACCGTCGGAATGGAACTCCTCGATTGTCACGCAAAAGTTGTAGCAGAATTTGTCGAGCCAATGAACGATCATCTAAAACAGTTGACCACATGTAAGTGATACGGTGTATTTGATTGAGTGTATATAAAGAAAGTTTAGTTGAATGGTTGAACTGCCCTTTGAACTGGAACTGGCTTCTTAGAAATTAATATGCATCGATTTGTTGACAATCAATAGGGAGCAAGATGGTGGGCAGCTTTCTCAGGTCCGAGTGTCAAAAAGAAGGCGTTGTGTTAATGAAATGGTTGAAGTGCATGTGAATGGGTATACATGTTTGTTGTTAGGGATTGCCTTGTATGCAGTCTATATATTCTGTAATGTGTGCATGTGTATCTGCAGAGTTGAAACACCGTGTGCATCTTTTACACGTGACATTGATACCAGTCAGGGTTCCCAAAGGTAACTTGTGGTTAAAGCATTATTGATCTGTTTGTGTTATGTATGTAGCTCATGTGATTGACATTGGTTGTGTTTTGTTGCTTTGATATTATTTGGTATGCTTAGTGATCAGCTTGCAAGTAAAAAAACACCTCGTGCACGGATATCTAGGAAAGAGTGTTGTATTAATAAAATAGGTCAGGCACAGGCAAAGAGGTACAAGGTCTATCTATCAAATTTGCAGCTTATTTATAGAAAACAGGTAATAATGAAATTGTTCATATATGCAGTACGATAAAGCCCAAGAAAAAGAAGACTTGTCCAACGCCTAACCCATTGTGTAAGTTTTTAAATAGTTATTGTTAGTGTCCGTGTTAAGGCTTACTTGTTATGATACATAGATGGTTTTACTGATAAAGCTGTAACCATGCCAGTTATTCGTGCTGCTACAATAGGTCAGCCATTACCGACAGAGTCCCTGAATCTACCTTCCCCTACATGTTGTATGAAATGCCATGCTAAAAAGTTTGCATTTGAGACTTTGAAGTTTTGTTGTGCTGACGGAGAAATAAGAATTGCAGCAAGTGAGTATCCTTCTGAGCTTAAGCGATTGTTTTCTTCTACGGATGAAGATGCAGAACACTTTCAGACTTATGCTAGGTTATACAATAACCTATTTGCTTTCAGTTCCATAGGAGGGGATTTTGATGCAAGTACATATAAGGGCATATATGTTTTTAAGATGCATGGGCAAATGTACCATTTTGTTCCAGATTTATTACCTGATAAAGGTTGTCCAAGGTATCTGCAGCTGTATTTCTATGAAGGGCAGCATGAAGCTCGTAATAGGCTTCAGTGTTTTCCAGGGGTTAGGTAAGATGTGATTGATATTCTAATACGCATATCACAACAAAATCCATATACAGTGTTCTTTCGATCCCTGAGAGAAAGAAAAGTTAGTGTAGACATAAAAATTGTCCTGAATCTGAGCACAGTGTTAGATCAGCGTGTCTATAATGCGCCTGCTGTGGATGATGTTGTTGTTATATGGCCAGAAAATGCTTCGTCCAGTCAGAGTTTAGGCCCTCATATCATAGTTACTGGTAAATCTGATGAGCCTCATAGAATTTATCATAACTATGGTTGTTATGATCCATTGCAGTATCCCTTATTATTCCCTCATGGAGAATGTGGGTGGACACAAGGATTAAAGAAGCAGTCTCACGGTGGTGCAATACAGGCTGTTTCATTGCCAGATCTTATTGCTTCTTGTGCTGTGCACAGTTCAGAAGACTTGCTGAATGAAGAAGATAAACGTATGTTTCTACAACTTGCTAGGCTGTAATGAGTGTAGCATACCATTCTTTGCTATCTAATAGATGTTCTGTAAGTAACTATTGTTGATTTTGCTATGTAGGAGCACGTAGGAAGCACACTAGTGCAGATAAGTTTATCTCTCCTAGGGAATATTATGCTTATAAGTTGCAAATTCGACCTGAAAATTGGTTGCTGCGAGCTGGCAGGATTTTTCAGCAGTATATAGTTGACATGTATGTTAAAATTGAGAACACTCGCCTTGATTACTTTCGCAATAATCAGGATAGTATACGGGCTGAACTATATCAAGGTATTCTAGATTCATTGCACTCTAGAGAAACTGTTGCTTCAGATGTAGGACGTAGGGTGATTTTACCTCCAACATTTATTGGAGGCCCTCGAGATATGAAGAAACGTTATCTCAATGCTATGGCTTTGGTTCAACGATATGGAAAACCTAATTTCTTTGTTACTATGACTTGCAATGCTAACTGGCCTGAAATTAAGGCAGAGTTATCACCTGGTGAGACAGCCCAAGATAGGCCTAATTTAGTGGCCAGGATTTTTAGAGCAAAATTACTTGTATTGAAAAAAGAGATAATGGACAAGAAAGTATTTGGTGAGGTAACTGCTATGGTGTATGTTGTAGAGTTCCAGAAAAGAGGATTACCCCACGCTCATTTTTTAATAATTTTGAAATCAGAGTGGAAAATGAAATGTCCTACTGATTATGACAAATTTGTGTGTGCTGAAATACCATCTGCTTCTAATAGTAAGCTGCGTAAGACTGTTCTTGCACATATGATGCATGGTCCTTGTGGTAGTTTGAACCCAGATTGTCCATGTATGCGTACAAGATATGGTGTTCAGACCTGTAAAAACAAGTATCCTAAGCAATTTGCAGATGAAACAACTAACAATAAAGATGGTTATCCTATCTACAGAAGACGTGATACTGGTGAAAGGGTGAAAATACGTAGTACATATCTTAATAATCAGTGGGTTATTCCTTACAATCCTTATCTTTCTTCATTGTTTGATTGCCATTTGAATGTTGAGGTTTGTTCGACTATAAAAGCAGTAAAGTATTTGTATAAGTATGTGTACAAGGGTCATGATAGGGTTTCATTTAATACAGTACCTGGTAATTAAAACACACTTGATGAAATTAAGCAATTCCAGTCAGGCAGGTGGGTTTCTCCTTGTGAAGCTGCGTGGAGAATCTTTAGTTTTGACTTATTTGAAATGTATCCTCTAGTACTTCCTTTGCAAGTTCATCTGCCTAATTCACAGACTGTTCATTTGCATCCTCATGAGAAATTGCGTGTTGTTGTTGCTAATTCTAAACGTAGTCGCACTTAATTGACAGAATTCTTTGCAATTAATGCAGCGGTTGAAGGTGGAACAGGGCACCTCTACCGTGAATTTTATGAGCACTACACATGGGAAGCAAGTAAGAAAGAATGGAAAAAAAGGGTTCAAGATAAATTTTGTGTTGGACGTTTAGCATTTGTATATCCTGCAGAAGGAGAACGCTTTTTCTTAAGATTGTTGTTGCTCCATGTAAGAAGCCCAACTTCATTTGAAGACCTTCGAACTGTGAATGGGCATCTATATTCAACTTTCCAGGATGAAGCCTTGAAGCTAGGATTAGTAGAACATGATGATGCTGCAGACTTGACACTGTGTGAGGCATCTGGGGTGTAAATGCCTGCTGCTTTTCGACGCTTATTCGCAACAGTATTAATGTTTTGTCAGTCAGCAGATCCTTATGCTTTATGGCTAAAGTTTTATCCTTTTCTTTCTGAAGATTTCAGCCACAAGTATGGTAGCAATGCCCATAGAATTCATCAGCTTACTGTGCGGTCTATTGAGAGGTATCTAGAGGCTATGGGGAAATCACTTTCGTCATTTGGTTTAGAGCATTTAGATGCCCAGGTTGATGCTAAACTGAAAATAACAAGAGACGTTGTAGATGCTCTTGATGCTCCTATACCAGAGGAATGCCTTACATGTCGTTCTAGGCTTAACAATGAACAAAATGCTGCTTTCTTATGTATTATGCAATATGTTATGGAAGGGAAACCAGGAGCCTTTTTCATAGATGGTCCAGGAGGAACTGGAAAAACATTTTTGTATAATGCTCTATATGCAGAGATACGACTTATGAACAAGATTGTACTACCTACAGCTACATCAGGTATTGCTGCGGCAAATATACCTTCAGGTCGTACAGCCCATTCAAGGTTTAAGATCCCACTCGACAGTGATGCTTTTCTAGCTTGTGATGTTCCCAAACAAGGTAGCTTGGCAGCACTGCTTAGGGAGACTACATTAATAATCTGGGATGAAGCTTCAATGGCTAAAAACAGAATATTGAATAACTAGATCTACTTCTGCAGGATGTATGTGGAAACCAAATAATGTTCGGAGGTAAGATTGTTGTGTTTGGAGGTGATTTTAGGCAGGTTATGCCAGTTGTTCCACATAAATCAATGAAAGAAGATGTGGATAGTAGTATTGTTACCTCATTTTTATGGCAGAAATTTATAAAATTCAGATTAGTAGAAAATATTAGAGCACGGGATGATTTACCGTATTCTAGATTCTTACTTTCTTTGGGTAATGGTGAACTTCAAGAATCAGAGTCTGCTTATGTTCAGTTGTCAGCTAATATTGCACAGTTTAGTGAAAGTGAAGAAGATTTAATGTGTCATCTGATGAGAACGACATTTCCTGAAATGAGTGATGGTAATCTTTGCACTGACACTTTTATTAATTGAGCAATTTTGACACCATTAAATGATGAAGTTGATGCTATTAATGCATTTATGATAGAACAATTTCAGGGAGAATCTGTTACATACAAAAGCTTTGATGTCATACTGAACGATTCGTGTAATGTATACCCTACAGAATTCATAAATAGTCTGTGTCCTGGAGGAATGAGCCCTCATGAGCTTGTCCTCAAAGAAAACTGTCCTTTTATCTTGCTAAGGAATCTCTTACCTTCATCTGGTTTATGCAATGGCACTCGCCTTATTTGTAAACGTTTCTTCCCAAATGTTATTCAATGTGTCATTGCTACAGGGCAATACAAAGGAGATCATGTCTTCATACACAGGATTAACTTACGCCCATCTGGATCTGTAAACTATCCTTTCCAGTTTGAAAGGAAAAAGTTCCCTATCAAGTTAAGCTTTGCTATGACGATTAATAAATCTCAAGGACAAACACTTAATCAGGTGGTTGTTCATCTTCCACGCCCATGTTTTTCTCAAGGACAATTATATGTTGCTTTGTCTCGGGCTAAAAGAGCAAAGGATGTAACTGTCTATTATGTTAAGCCACCAGATCAATTCCCATTGGGCTCTGTGAAAAATGTAGTGGCTTATGAAGTTCTGAAATTAGCAGGAATTATCAAGACAGGTATGGAACAGCATCATTGAGTCTGTTATGTAACCACAGTGTGGTTGAAAGGTATGTTTTCGATTTTTTTGTGCACTCAAGCATAATATACTGCATGATTTTTGAGACAATTTAAACAATTCCTGTTCTGTGAGTTTCTGTTATATTTCATTTTACTTATTCATAGTCATTAAGAAACTAGACTACTTAGAGTGATTCAGTTGTAATATTGCTGACCCATATAATCATAATCTTATTAGTTAGACAGGCTCACTGTTTTTTACTTACTTTTGTGTGTAATTTGTTTGTGATGTAAGACAATATGACATCTTTTTTGTTATCGATTCTTTGCAGGAGTTATCATATGGACAAGGTGAGGTGCCCCCATGAAACTTGTAATTGAAATTCCATAACAGGTTAGCATTCTCAATTACCACTTATTGTACTCTCTGATTTTACAGTATACAATGACTAAGTAGATTATTCAGGATATTTATGTGTATGACTCAAATACTGTTGATATAATAATGACCAACTGATGATGATACAAAGCTTACACTTAATTTAGCTCAATAAGCAAGGTCACACTCATTAATTTTAAAGATAACACAGTCTTGTTTACTAATTTAACATGATTACAATACACAAGTAGAGCTTAAATTAGAAAACACATGAACTAACTTATTTGTAGAGCTAGGTTGACTAGCATTAGCCTGGATAACCAAAATCTTAATTGTTCTGGTTATCACCTGCAATAGTTACCACTTGAATAGAGAATGTCCCCCAACCTACATAGCGCACACTTAGAATATCACCTTCTGCTATTAGATTATCGGTGACAAACTTCTCCCATCCGGTATACAGGAACACATGATGACTTTCATTGATATTAACACCCAGCAATTCGACATGCCATACTGGCCCTCCAATGTCACGTTGTAGACATACAGGGCCTGTAAATGTTGACAGGAAAGACTTCCAGCTACTTGGGAGGGGCTACATACAAAGGGAAAGAGGCATATATCAAAAATATGGTAGTATCATATATACAGACAGTTCCACACACACTTTGAAAATGAATGCTTATATGAGTGCTATAATGAGAAAGTTATATATACAGATCAATCATATTAAAGTGAATAAATAGGTAGAAAATCTAATGTTTAATGTCGACCTTCATGAAGTAAATTTAACATACCAAGGCATTTCTATGGCAATTATGGAACTGCATACTGTAACTTGGAGGGTTGCTGCTCATTCTGCACTTCGCAAAACAGCTGTATATCAGGTTTTGCTCTTAAAATTTAATGTTAGCTATTGATATGTTCACGTATGTATGAAAAATTGTAATTGCCACTTTCATTTCTTATATAAATGAATCCTAGAAACTGATACTGTATGCTTTTTTCCATTTTGTGGGGAATCCTTTCATGACAAGATGTATTGATTCACTTGTCACTGAGATAATGCTGACAGTTATGCATGTAGGAAACGGGTCTATATACAAGCACAATATGTCTTGTTATATCAGCATTCCCATACAGCTTATATTGAGTTGCATATATGGAACACTTACCAAAGTGATAACCTTACTGATTGAATTTTAACTACAACTATATACAGATTGCAAATCTTCATGTGTCATGAAAGATTCTTTAATGTGGTAAAGATTCCAAATATCATACAACACACAAACAGTTGTATTAATTATTGAACTAATGCCTTGTTTGTACACCTTATCTTTCTATACCAAATTTTAACTGTCTAATATTTAGAAAATGTTTATACAATATTCTACTTAATTGATAATCCCAGCAAATTATCATAGGCAAAACAAAAAGGCTCTGATCTAAATGACATTGTTACTCTTTTTGTTTCCCTTTTAATGTATTGATTCAAAGAATTACTTCAGTATTAGTTATACTATTTTGTATCTAAACATTTGATCTTTCAGGAAATATACTTTCTCTTGTGATCATTACAGTCATGTAGCCTTATTGTGCTTTCTATGTGTAGCCACTGCAATTAAATTAAGATGACAAACTATTACAATAGCCTTAACAATAAGTCAATGCGTTAATTATATGAATTAATTGACATGAAATCTAACTTGGAGAAGATATATTACAGACTTGGTTAGTGCACCTCCAATGGTTTTAACTTAATATTACAGAGTGCTTCAGTAAAATTCACAGCCAAATTTAAAAATTTGTTTCTGCTTCGTACATGCATTAAAATCTTACATTATGCTTTTATTATACGAATATAATAGCAAATTGCTTACAAGGCATAAGGAACTACCATTACTTAACTAAGCCTGCATCCTTGATTTTGATTAATATATAGTCCACTTACTAATGGTACATTAGCCTATTAAACTACTACACTTAGATAATACTGCAAAAGCTAGACATATAGGCTTTAAGGCAAATTCCAGTAGCAATTAAGCTGGGACAAGCAACATCTCAAATAGTATAACAACACATGCATGTTCATAGAACATGTTCACACCATTACTAAGTTGACATGATGTGATCATGTTCTGTTCTCGAACAATTTGTAATTCAGCACACCATTGCTTACTTCTATGGCGAAGTATAACAACCGTGCATTGACCAGCTTCAGATAAATGCAACGTAGCAAATGGGACAGGTACAACCTAAAAAGCATAGAGCATTTATCAACTTTCTACATATGACTCTATCACATATAACCATGACATAGATAAACTACTAAACAAAAAACTTACAATATTCCCTTGATGGATACAACGAACATCAAAGATATAGGGAAATGAAGGCTCGGGACGTTCTGCTTGCATTTGCCTTAAATGGAGTTCCAACTCTGCAGCGTTTAGTGGAAGCCTCCTTCGAGTAACTATGGTTTGAGTTACTGGTATATCTACATGAGTTTTATCATGACCATGATAAGATAATATCTGTGTGTGGAATATACCGCTACCTTTGTAATACATTACCAGAGTATCCCCAACTTCAATATTATTATCCGAAATAAATTCTTTCCAGGCTCCCTCGACATACATTTCACTAATCATATTCCCAACTTTAGTTCTCCAGATAACGATATCCCATGCTGGTCCATTGCAGCCTCTGTAAATTTTTGCAGCTCCACATTGCGTGGACAAAATGTGGTAAAAAGAAACAGGAATTTCCTGAAACATGACAACAGAAGAGGACATTAGCAAGATAAATGAATATGTGTGGCACAACACATTTAAAACAATAAGAATTAATACATACTGCAATGTCTTTATCCTCTTCTTCTATTCTTAGTGCCCATCTCATTAGATTGTTATTATCAACCTAACAATACAATTGATGGAGCAGTGAGTAAGGCTTAAATAACAATGCTTTTGAATGCACATTTAAGAAATCAAATTAGCACATTGACTATAAATTGTGCATACTATTTTTATTACCGCAAGATGGCTAATACGGATTTAAGAACTTATGAATTTCCAAGCTTATTGCCACTCCTTTATATAACACATGCCAGAGATTGGAACTTTAAAGTCAGGAAGTAGTTTATGTCCTTGTCTAGAATCTTACTATTAACTGTAGGCATGTGAACCTTTTTAAAAAATCAAATCTTAGGTTGTTTACAATATAAAAAAGTATTCGCTAATCAATACAAGTTTAAAGATAATTATCTATACAAGCAAATTATTAATAATAACCGAGTGTAAATATACATAGTTAAGGTGACAAATGTAAATCAAAGAACCTTATACATGTAGTGTCGCACATAAATTATACTTACCTTCCTTTCAACTTCAAAAGTTCTTGATCAAGTTTATTTTATGATCATATCATAAATAGTTGAAAACTTACCTTGATTGGAATAAAATTTAAGAGTAGACAAAAACCAAAACTTTAAAGAGTTATAATGAAGCAAATAGATCTTGTGGTTTAATAGATTACAATATACTTGGGTTAAAAACCTAATCAAATAGCCCTCAAGAAAGGGGAAAAAACCACATGAAAGAGGGAAAAAAAATAAAAAAAAAATACAGGAAAAAACAAAAAAGGAAAAAAAAAAAAAAGAAGAAAAAAGGCAAATCATGTTTATCCCATTAAATAGCACGTAACAAGCTTACAAATATCTTCAACTCATAGATATTACTTATTGGGCTAGACTCTATAAAGTTATAGTAGTTCTTTATAATGACATGAGCCCAGTACATATTTGAAGTCACACAAATAAGCTTGGGTTATTAAGTAATTCTGCTTAGTTTATTTAAAGAATATCTTGCTTAATATACAAGCATAAAGTACAGCAGGCCTGACTAACTTTTATGATAAATTGTTTAGGAGAGATTTCGTGTATTAGGATTCAAGAAATGATAAATCTATTAGGTAAGCAGTAAGGTTATTCCTATGTAAGTATTCTAATTAAATTTTTACATGTTACAAATATTTTTTGTTTTTGCGGTCTAATTCATTGAAACGCTATACAAGAAAGACGCGTACCTATGGATAACAATATTCATGAACCACGAGATATAAATTGAATTTCTACGATCCTGTCTAATGTGTACAGCTAAACAACGGGATGGAGTAAGCAAAAGGGAGAAAAAAGAAAAAAAGGAAAACAATAAAGTATTAAAAAAAAAACGAGAAGGAGTATAACCTCACCATTATTCCGCAAATTAATAACCTTATGCATTACCTGATTAATATCAATATTATCTATCACTTAAGTGGAAATTTTATAATGACAGAAATTATTTAATTGGGACAATAAATATAATTTTAAAATCATAGATTAGTACTTAATACTTATTGGGCTAGACTCTAGAAAATTGTAGTTATTTCTAATCATCAGTATAGGCCCAGTCCATATTGAATCTACACAAGTAATAATTGCTAAAGATAACACACAAGATTGCTTAATTTACAAGGAAAATAGTACAAGTGGTCAATATCTTTTATAAAAAAAACAACAGAAAAATAAAAATAAATAGAATGGTACATCTGGTCAATGTAGGAAAAATAGAGCAGTTGGTCAATACTACTATTAAAGTAAATGGTTGTACTTGTTCAAACCATTGAAGCTTACAAAAAAACATTTAAATTAAAATAAAAAGAAAAACAGAATTAAATTAACCAAAGAAAACAAGAAAAAAAAATTTAAAAAAACAAACACATCAACATAAGCATAGATAAATAAATAAGTTCTATAATTTGGAATCCATCAACAGGGATAATATTTACCCATAAATGAAAATAGTGAAAAAGGGGGGTGAGGGAAGAAAAAGGATAGAAAAGATAGATTTAGTAAACTAATTCTTCCTTAAACTTCAGAATATAAGATCTTTTCCGATTATACATAGTACTGCTTGATTAATGTCAAAATGTCTCTAAAAGTGAATTTTTGTTTTTTTATTATTATTCCTTTAAAAACACAATCATGTTTTAAATTTAAAAAATTTTCATTTTTTTATTGAAAATAATTTTCTGTTTTAAAATTATTTCTCCAAAAATCATTACTGGAAAAAATATTAACCCAAAGGATAATTCAACCTACTTATATTATTATAATTGTAAAATTCATTAATGTACTACGGTACTGTAGAGACCATTACTGGGTATGGGATGCTTACTGTTGTTACCTGAATTTCTTTATAATTTGCTTGACTGGTTGCTAAATTGTTGCCTTCTAATTTTTCCTATAAATAGTACCATTTCTTCAACAAGCAATTCACCAACTTCAGCTCTGCAACTGTACAAATCGATTAAGGTACTTTAATTTTTATAGCCTTTCATGCATAATATCAATGAAATTTATGCAATCCTATTGTTTAGATAGTAATGTTAAATACATATTTATCTTTATATATGTGTAGAATATATAAATCAAACTCACAGTATATTATATTCATGTATAAAATGGCATTTAATGAATGATTGTGATATAAATCCAGTTCATGTTTCTGAATATTCTCTGCTATTATAGTATAACATTACATATAGCATATAATGAATAGCATTTACTCTCAGATCATGCCTGTAGTTTATTTATTATATAGCAGAAATTCCTTTTGTAAGATTCTCTATAAATTTATTATGCAGTCTGAATTCTGTTAAGGTTGCTTGCATGATATTTAAGTCTAAGTGTGATATATGTAAACTGATACATGTATTAATATGCTTGAATGAAACACAAGTCTTTCACCAGCAAGATTTCATGTTATTTATAGACCTACCAAACTTACTTGATTAGCAATATCCTACCTTTTTAACATTGAAATAGCTGCTTATATAAACTATTTCCATATGTAAGCTTGTGTATTCAGTCCCCATATACATATAAATCAAGATTTACTAAATTTGTTCTGTTCTTTCACTCTTTTATGATTACAACTGTGTCTCAAATTACTTTCTTACAAAGAAATTAGTCATGCTTATGGATGTTTGACTTAAATTATTCCATGTACTCTTTATAGGCTACAAAAAATCTACAATATGAAGCTTGAATCAGTATACTTAAATGAACTTAATACGGAAAGTAGAGATTACAAGGTGAAAGTCACGGTTGCTGAAAAGGGTCGTCCTCGAGAGTCTCCTAAAAAACTTGGATTGCTCTA